AGGAGAAAGGAGGAGGAGAAGGAGAAGGAGAAGGAGAAGGAGAAGGAGAAGGAGAAAAAGGAGAGATGGAGGAATAGGAAATGGAGAAGGAAATGGAGAAGGAGAGGGAGAAGGAGAAGGAGAAGGAGAAGGAGAAGGAGAAGGAGAAGGAGAAAAAGGAGAGATGGAGGAATAGGAAATGGAGAAGGAGAGGGAGAAGGAGAGAAGGAGGAGGAGGAGGAGAAGGAGAAGGAGAAGAGAAGGAGAAGGAAAAGGAGGAGGAGAAGAGAAGGAGAAAAAGGAGAGAAAGAGAAAAAGGAGAGAAGGAGGAGGAGGAGGAAATTGAGAAGGAGAGGGAGAAGGAGAAGGAGAGAAGGAGGAGGAAAAGGAGAAAAAGGAGAAAAGGAGAAGGAGAAGGAGAAGAAGAAGGAGAGGAGAAGGAGAAAAAGGAGAGGAGGAGGAGGAGAAGGGGAAAGAGAAGGAGAGAAGGAGGAGGAGGAGAAGAAGGAGAGGAGGAGGAGGAGAAGGAGGAGAAGAAGGAGGAGGAGAAGGAGGAGGAGGAGAAGGAGGAGGAGGAGGAGGAGAAGGAGAAAGAAAAGGAGAGAAGGAGAAGGAGAAGAAGGAGGAGAAGAAGAGGAGAAGGAGGAGATCCAATGCTAAGCATTGCCATCAACGTCACGCACTCATAAAAGCTAAAACACACCGCATGTAACACTTGCTACGGTTTTACCGCCAAAATTTTCCTTTTTTGGCTGAAATTTGTCAGAATCGGTAAAAACGAGGTGGTGGGAAGGAGCCACTGCTGCATTTATGAGCTCGGCCTGGAGCGACTCCAACCTTTCCAGAACTTTCCAAGGGAAATGTGTCCCTGCTGGGGTGGCAGAAGCGTGACCCCACAGCTGAGGAAGCCAGAGGAGCTGTGGCCACCTCGGGGGATCTCCGGCGGGATTTTTTGGAACTTCAGCTCCTTTTCGGTGCGAGGGGAAAGCCAGCTGTGAAACCACGCCGGGGGATTTTGGCCACAGGGTCGCTCGAGGTCTCGGCATCTGGTTTGGGGACTTCCAGTTCTCAGATGTTTTTGAGAATCAGCTTTTTCCCAAAGAGAATGAGCAGATTTTGGTCCCGAGCTTTTATTTGAGCCAATTCAATTATTCGAGGACGGAAGAGCACTGAGCCAAACGTGAGGTTGTGAAAATTGCAATTCAATTATTTGAGGATGGAAGAGCACTGAGCCAAACGTGAGGTTGTGAAAATTG